GTTCATTCAGGTTTTGAGCGGTCCCAAACACGGCCATGGGAGTCAGGGCCTGTGTGGTCAAGCCCAACACCAGTTTCACCTGTTGCCGTTCTTCGTTACCCTGTTGTGGTCTAATCTCCAGCGGTCTGTCCGGGGTTCCTCTGGGGTTCCAACTTTTTATTTGCATCGATTGGTCGTGCTCTAGTCTCTGTCGTTATGCTAGTGGTTGGCTGATGGAGTTATCTGTTATGTGAGGTGCGCTTCCGTATATGTCAGTACTCAGTTGGTTCTCTGTCTCCCCATTATGGTATGCTTCTTAGCCTGTAAATGTCTTCCCCATTTCAAGCATGGGAGGCATTGTGTCCATCTGTCTCCTCCTGTCTACAGTTGTTGGTTAGTCGTGGGGTTTCTCGCCAATGTAGATGTGATCTATGTCCCCTGGACATCTTCCCCGATCTGTGTGTTAGTGTATGGGTCTCCTATTCTGGGCATATGTGTGTTTACCCTGTGTGTCATCTTTGTGGTGTTGCTTGAGCGCATTGGTTGGTCCCCGGTTCCTCCCGGCACCGCCCGGGCGGGGGAGAAGAGGAGGGATGGGGGGAGAGTAGGATGCAGGCTGTAATGTGACGTGGCTCTGGTGCAACTTCTAATACTAGTAGAGTGACAGGTAAGATGGATGGTGATGCATGCGCGGGCTCCTTGTTTACTAGATTCTCCACCGTGCTACTCCCTGCACCCTCGCCTGTGATATGTATGTGTACCACAGTGTCTATACCTCTGCATGTTTGTCGCCTTTCCCAATCATGCGTATCTCACAAGAGAGCCGTGTGGATCTCTTCAACTCTCTGGAGCCATTCCATTTTGGTGTGGGGTTGAGTTTGTTTCCATCATGTCGGGATCAATGCTTTGGCCGCGTTAAGCAGGTGTTGTAGTATCGATCGTTTGTATTGAGCCAACGATCCTTTGGAGAAGTGCAGGAGTGCTGCTTCTATGCTGAAGTCTAGTGGTTGTCCCAGGATTGCATAGTATGGGTGTGTAGTTCTTGGTGTATGTTTCGCTTGGATTGCGGGGCATCCAAATTCCCAGATAGCGCATCTGATCCGTGCACCAGCAAAAGGGGTACCTTGTATGGACCTTGTGGTTTTTACGGTCAGTATTTCACACTTCGCTTGGTTTAGCTTAAGTCCTGACACCCAGCCGTATTGATCAAATTCGTCTAAGAGGGCCGGAAGGGAGCTTAGGGGGTTTGTTATGAAAAAGAGCATGTCATCTGCGTATGCAGCTACTTTATGCTCTTTTTTTATGTTCTTTTTGCCTGAACCCCTGTATCTCCTGCGTCCGCCATATCCTGTCCAGGAACGGTTCTAGTGTAAGGGTGAAGAGGAGGGGGGATAATGGGCATCCCTGCCTAGTGCCGTTGTGGATGTCAAAGCTATCCGTGAGTGCTCCATTTATCCGGACTTGGCGCTTGGTTCGGTGAAAAGTGTGGTAATCCAAGTGAGTATGCTGTTCCCCAGGCCCATCGCATTCAGTGTTGCCCACATGTAACTCCATGTCAAGCGGTCAAGCGCTTTCTCGGCGTCCGTGGAAAGCATAAGTAGGTCCGAGTTCCCTTTAACTGCTAGCCCCTTTATAGCGAACGCCTGTAGGGTGCAGTCTCTGGCTTCCAGGCCTGGTATAAATCCTGTTTGATCCGGGTGGACTAATTGAGGTATAAATTGTTGTAGTCTAGTGGCCAGGATTTTTGAGAGGATCTTCACATCTGTGTTTAAGAGAGATATGGGGCGGTAGTTGCCACATATTTGTGGGTTCTTGGCGGGTTTGGGGATCACCGTAATTGTGGCTGCCAGGGTTTCCCGGTGGAACTTGCCTCCTTGTTGCAGGTGGTTTAGAGTGTCCGCCAGACGTGGGGCCAGCGTTTCTCTACATTTTTTATAGTAGCCTGATGACAGTCCGTCTGGGCCAGGCGCTTTCCCATTTTTTTCATTTTGATCACCATTAGGACTTCGTCCGTTGTTATCGGGGCGTCTAGGGTACTGGCATCCTGTGGTGTAAGAACGTTGGGTCTGAAGCTTCGGAGGTAGTTTGTTGTGTCCCTTGCTATTTTGTCCGCTATTTTCGTCATAGTACGAACGGAATTCGCTCGAAATTTCCTCAGGGAATTGTGTAAGAGTGCCTTTCGATGTTTGCAGTGCGTGGACTTGTGCTCTAGCCTGTTGATTCCGTATCATGCGGGCCAATAATCTCCCCCCATATTGGCATGTATGCAGAAGAAGGTTTTTGATATCTGGGTTGCCCTGAAGTGTTTTTGGCCTAACAATTCCGTCAGTTGACGTCTTGTTGTCAGGAGGGTGCGGTAGTGTGCTTCTAGTTGAGTTCGTTTGTGGAGCGTTTCCAGTGTTGCAATTTGCTCCGTCAATGTCATGTGTCTCTGTGCTTCCTTCTTTTTATGAGATGTCCCCAGATTACGGTCTTGTACGCTTCCCAAAGCGTTATTTTGGATGTGTCTTCCACGTCATTTTTGTCTAAATAGTTGTTCAGGTGTTTTAAGAGTTGTGTCTGCACACCTACATCTGAGAGGAGCAACTCGTTTAATCGCCAGGCGGTCCGGGTGGGTCTGAACAGGGATGAGTCCAGGAGTATGGAGACTTCACTGTGGTCTGCCCACGGTGTCGTGCGGATCTCTGCCTCCCGGAGTCTTTGTAGGCCTTCTTGTTGAATAAAGAGGTAATCAATGCGTGAGTGTCTATGGTGCATGGCCGAGTAGTGTGTGTAATCCCGGTCGTTCGGGTGCAGGGTTCTCCATGCGTCCACCAGACGCAAGTCACGTAAGGTCCTCCCCCAAGGTGCCTAGTGTTTGCGAAGTGGGCTGATGCGCCATACAGACACGTCTCGGTAGTATGGGTCTATGTTCGGGGGGGGGGTTCCATAACTCCGAGGTCTGGGAGTCTGCCGGAGAACTAATCACCCAACAAGTGTCTTTTTGTGTGTGTGTGTGTGGGTGGTAGGCCTCTCTGCGTGAGGGTGACCTGTGTAACCAGGTTGAGTGTCAGGTCCGCACCATCTCCTAGTGTAAACTCGGGCAGCCAGGGTTCTTTTTGCCTCCTCCAGTAGTTAGTTATACACAGGTCTGGTCGGGGGGTGGGTCTGTGGGTTGTCGTATCAGTTGCCTGTTAGGTCACAGGTGGGTGGAGGTGGATGTACTTGGTCTAGGGTGATTCAGCCTTAGTGTCTGGTCCGTTCCCCACATATGTCCCCACATATGTCTTAGCTAAATATGGTAGCTGTATCTCCTCTAGTCGTCGTCAGTAAGGTCCCAATTAGGTGAGTGCGGGCTATGCCTAGGGTGTTCTGTTCTGTGCGTTGGGCCTGTCTATCCTATTGTAGGGTCAGCAGTCTTGCTAGGGTTCGGTATGCCATTCCCGATGCGGATGTATGGTGGCGTGGATTTATTTGCGGGGGCGTGTGAGCTGTGCCTAGTGGGGTGTGTCGGACTTGCTTGGGTCAGTCAGGCTACCGTATGGGTCTCTTGTCGGTGGCGGTGACGTCCAGGTGTTTCCATACTGTCTTGTCTGGTGCTCACAGTATGTGCTCTGTCTCTCAGTTTCGCAGTATAGCGGTGTGAACCTTTTACGTGGGTTCTGTGGGGAGGGAAGGAGCATTACGTGGTTAACACACAGAGCATTATACATTCATTTCCTATTATTATTATTTCCCTTTCTTTCCCCTTCTCCTTCCTTTCTCGCTCTCTCTTCTGTGCTACCTGCTGTCCTACCTCCCTTCCCTCTGCCCCATCTATCCACACCAGGGACTATTCTTCCCGGCCCTTCCCCCTTACATCCTGACTGAACATACTAGACATATATGCATTTTCAAAGTGCTCCCTTAGTCCGGGTCCCCCCAGCCCACACATAGATGTAGGTAGTCCAAGCTGGGTTTGCGTGATGTGAATCCTTTGGATGGTCTCCAGTACAGTCTGAGTTCCCCAAGTCTCAAAAGCGTTATTGCTAAATAAAATCTCTTTCGCATTGTGTGTGTCCCTTATCTCCTTGGGGCCTTCCTGTGCTATGTCATGTATGCTCATGTAGGCACAACCCAGTTTGGTCCATAGCGCTCCTCTTTAGCAGTTCCCTCCCCCTGTAGGCCCCCCACCCAAAAAACAGGTAGTGGTTCGGCGCTTATGTCACGTCTTAGTAATTCATGGGTGTTCGGGGGTTTTACGTGAGTGTTAGGAACAGTGTCTCTAGGTTGTGTGTGTGTTTGTATTTAGACTTATCTGGAGTCTCCGGTGAGCTGTGTGCATCTGGACTGGTGTGCGGAGGGCCGGGTGGGGAAGCAAGTCCATCTACCTTTACTCCTCCAGGTCAATAGGTTCGAGTTGTCGGCGGGCCACAGGCCGTCGTGGAGTGCCATCTCTGCGTCTCCGTTGTTGCCCTGGTGTCTTTGCTCCAGTGGCCCAAGGACCCAGTTGGCGGTTTCTGTGGGCAGCAATCCTATACGTTGTAGGAATCTAGGCACTTCCTCTGGCCAGCGTAGGGGTATCCATTCATTGTGGTACCTGGCTAGGAGAGCAAAGGCGTAGCCCCATTCATAGGGTATACCTCTCTGTTGGAGTTGAGACGTGATCGGCCTCAGTGCTCTACGCGCCTCCAGCGTCAGTAGTGATAGGTCCTGATACAGAGCCACTTCTGCATTTTGAAACCTCCATGTCTGTCTGGAGCGTGCTTTCAACATAATTCTTTCTTTTAGCTTGTATTGGTGCAAACAGCAGATAATGTCTCTTGGTAATCCATCAGTTGTACACAGTCTGTTAGCTCTGTGTGCTCTGTCGAACTCTATAGAGTCTGGTGCTTCATCTCCCAATATTCCTTGAAAGAGAGTTCGTAGTGTACCTTCCATGCCTTCCTCCCCCGCAGGTTCTTGCAGGCTGCGTACTCTAATGTTGGGCCTACGGTCTCCATTGTCTAAGTCTTCAGTGTGGCGTCTCAGTGCCAGCAGGCCTCAGCCTGTGCTGCATCCGCCTATGTGGTGGATTCCAGTTGCTGCAGCATGGTGTAATGTGCTGTGATATCTGCCTTGAGCGCTGATACATCAGTGCGGATCGCCGCATGCAGAGTGTCTGAAAGGCAGCGGAGGTCCTCCTTGGCTACCATAGCGGCGGCCAGTGAGCGAATGTCGGCGCTGATGTCAGTTAGTGTGGGTTCGCCGCCATCGGATGTAAATGAGCTGGACGGTGAGTCGGCCATGTTGGCGCCTGCGGCCTCGTGGTGTGCTCCCGATGCAGAGGTCAGGTGCCCGTCCATGGTTCCGGCTGGGGCGCTGGTGGGGTTGCTCCTCGGGGTCTGGGAGCCATCCAGACACTTTGTACGGCCCATCCTTGAGCCTTGCTATAGTTACAGGTTGCTATTGTGGCTTGTGGGATCGGAGCTCTGCACCTAGACTGCCATTATCCTCCGCGTCCAGGCCACGCCCCCCCAATTCTGCTAATTTGACCTATGTGTTATGATGGTGTTTTGTGTTCTTTCACATTTACTGTTTTGTGAACAATAAATCTTTTTAAAAAGAACATTTCAGGCATCATTACAACTTCATCTGAATTAAGTTGTCATGGTGCGAATAGATCCCTGAATGCCGGCTTACATCAAGGAGTTACACTGTTAACGAATGGTTTAACACCAATGTGTTGAATTCAGCATGCGATCGCTCTGCCCACAAACATCTGCTACAGTCTGGCTTGAAACAGGAAGCATTGGACAGGGGTGTTGCTGTTAACCAGAGAGCATCATCTGATGATCTCAGTCTACCATTTACTCTCATTCACAAAACGGCTTGAGAAATTTCAGCATTTTTCTAAAGCCATTTTGTGAATGAGGAGCTAATAACATGCTACGAGTGTCAACTGACGCACTCAGCCTATCAGTAGCGCCCCTGTCCAATACTTCCTGATTGAAGCCTCGGGAATGTCCTTGCATCGGGATGAAGTTGTTATGGTGCCTGATGTTTTTCTTTATTTGATCAAAGGACTTTGTCATGAACATTCAGGGCCACTGTAAAATTAGGATATATATTTAAGTGGATTCATTAAAAAAAAAAAAAAAGCACTGACATTATTTAATAATTTAATAAGGTATATAAAAAACTGTTACATTAAGAAAATAGATTTGAGAAAATTAATAAGGGATAAGAGCGTTTAGTAGGAAGCAGAGATAAAGCTATGTAACCTAGTCCAATTTAATTGGAATAGGAACATAGAGGTCAGTGTGGTGGTACCAGATCCGCCGGCTTTGACCCAAAAAACGATACGTATAGACAAAGAGTGAATACACCCCAATCAAGGGGGGACTCAGTACTGGTATTTAATGGAGGGAAAAATTACAAATTGACAGCTATAATAACTTGCTTAGAGATGAGCCTTGTGGGGCAGTAGTCAAATATTCCCGCAGCTATAAGTACAAATTGTATCGAGTAGGAAATTACTTTATTGGTTAAGACAGGGAAATAGTGATACAAATTGAACTGAAGTTGGGAAGCAAATATGATTTGTTATGTATGTTACAACCACATGTCCTGATCCTTGTTTAACGGTATCAATATGCAGCTAGACTCAATGGGGCTAAATAAACCCTAATAATGTCTGCTAGGTCCAGATAAACAGGATTGGTAAAGGGAGAGTTAACTTAATAGTGATCTAGGTAATTGTCATAACAATGAGCGCAAGAGACAATAAGGCAAATAGGCTATAGCCTGAATAAAGGGGTTGTGGTAAAGGAAATTACTGTCAGTAATATAGGAGCTTAAAAAAAAATGAGTTAAAAAAAATCACTCAAATCTAATGAAGCAGTGTTAATGCTGAAAGTATTCTTATCCCCTTTAGAACAGGAGGTAGCAAAAGCCTCATAGATATCTGAGAGGTAAAAGGGAGGTGGAGAGACAAATATTTATGCAGAACAAACAATTGTCGGCAAGTGTTGGAATGCCCTAATTGCTAGTCCCGGAGTCTCCTAAAAAAACACCTTTGTAGGTGTTCTATGCTAATACCTCATATCTATATATCCTTGCCTCCAATTAACCCACACAAAACCAAAATCTAAGAAGAGAGGGGTGCTAAACACCCAGTGCTCCATAAAGTGAGAGTTAAAAACGGACCTAACGCGCGCTTCGGTGCATATAGCTACACCTTCGTCAGAGCTTTTATGAGAATCTGGCTACTCAGCATACTTCAAACCAAACAATTTTGATAAGGCAAATAATGAACCCTATTTCTGGAGAGGATTATAAGTGCCATTGGATTTTTAAAAACTTTCCACTTCTGCATTCACATAGTCAGATTTCGATTAGCTGAGAGCACTGATTGTCTGAGAGCACCAGCTGACACATAATCAATTCTGTCCAAATCTAGACAATTTTAACATGCCAACCTGAAAGTGTAACTTTTCTCAATAACAATACCATGAGTAACAATGCCCTGATTTCGTGTCTCCTGGGCAAACTTGGTTGGTGTCCAAACTCTAAAAAAGTTTTGTCACATTACTGGGAGACAGTGTATTATAAAAAATAAATTATGCAACTAAAATCAAATTTGGAAATTTAGATCTTATATAAACAGACTGATTTCTAAACACAGTTACTGTAGTTTAAACCCTTAACCTGTTAAAGCCGTGCTATGCCGTCTTGCAAGAGGAAGGCTTTAACGCTTTTAGGGTGGCATAGCATGCCTTAACGATCGTGCCCTCACAGGAGCCGGATACTTACCCACCGCGGCAATCCCGATCGGCGGAACTGCCTGACAACAAAGGCAGTCCTGCAAATCCCACCCACATCATGTGTTTGCGATTTCACCGTGATCTCATGCCCAGATCGGCAGCTTACATCATTTCCTGGGTTGTCAGGCAGATCCACAACAAAAAAAACAACTTAAAGGGACACTATAGTCAACAGAACAACAACAGCCTATTGCATTTGGTCTGGTGAGTATCAGTCCCTTCAGGCTTTTTGCAGTAAACACTGTGTTGGAACAAAATTTAGACCTTCTTTGCCATGGACTTTTGAGTAATTTATCAACCTCAGATTTGTCCTGCAATTTTGGTAAGTCCACAATGACCTGACACAGAAGCAAGTTGTTCCGTGTCTTCAAAAAATGTATTGCGTATCACAGGTCTATATGTGTTGTTCATTAACAGGGTGTGTTTTTGTTCTTTATCCAATCAGATAGTTAGACCTGGTCTTAATGTATAGAGAGGGTAGTAAAAGGGGGTGAGTAGTTTGGACTTTACTGCTGTTACTAGGCAGGTCAGCAGTAAGAAGTGGTGGTGAGTGTAGGGGGGAGAAAAGAAAGTTAACCATCCAAACTTGTAAACAACCAACACCCTCTATACATTGAGCAGAACGTAGATTGTTAGTCTAGAGGCTTATTCAGTAAATGTCGCTAAACACAAGACTGAAGACAGTCAGATACATTCACACTCTCTTTTCAGAGAAAAGGCAGTGTTTACATTACAGCCTAGGGATACCTCCACTAGCCACTCCTCAGGTGGCTGTTAGAGGTGCTTTCTGGGGCAGTGCTGGACAGTGTGACTGACATTCAGTGTCTCCACCACTGAACTTTCCTCACAGAGATGCATTGATTCAATGCACCTTTATAAGGAGATGTTGTTTGGCTTGTGCTGGCTCTGTCCCTGATCTGCCTCCTTGACAGTCTCAGGCAATCCAATGTTTCCTGTCTTAAAGAATTGTGATTGGCTTTGATCAACACTTCTGACACTACCAGCAGGCAGATCAGTGTCAGAGCCAGCAGCAGACTGGAAGGGCTATATGGTGTTTTTAACACTATAGGGTAGGGGTTACATGTTTGTGTTCCTGACTCTATAGTGTCCCTTGAATTATACCAAAATAATTTATAAATATATAAGATATATACAAAAAATTTACCATTGCATACTGCAATACTGTGGTATTTGGGTATCTTGTCTACTGGACTTATACGGGTAATCCAATCTGCACTATATATATATATACTTATGTTTGTTATCCTGATGAAAATGAAAAATGAAGCTTTATTTAAAAATCCTGGGAGTGCTGATTTTTTTCTGTTCTGCATGTCTAGTGCAATCTAGCACGGGGTTCTACATTTTTGTAAATAGGAGTGCAAGGCTTTTGGTTTTATATATATATATATATAAATAAAACCAAAAGGGCTGTACTGAACTGAATAATACTGTGCTACTGAGACTTGCTGTTTAGTGGATGAGCGAGTATGTTGTATCTTGTATGTCTCACTTGTATCTCTCCCCTCAATGTACCTTTCAACCTATCCTCCCTGCCCCTGCCCCTGCCCTGCCCGGTCATACTAGGCCTAGGCTATTCATTGAACACTTTTCTTCCTGGCTACCCCATTTCCTCTCCACTAGCACTCCTTCCCTCATTATTGGGGACTTTAATATCCCAATCAACAACCTTAACTGCCCTGATGCCTCTCGTCTGTTCTCTATAACCTCCTCCATTGGACTCCCACAGTGGTTTAATTCATCAACTCATACAGCAGGAAACACTCTTGACCTCTTCTTCACCAATCTTTGTACCACCTCTAATCTCTCCAATGTTTCATTTCCTCTATCTGACCACCATCTGCTGTCCATTGACATCCGCATACCCCATACACAAAATACACCACCCTCACCACATCAGTCTTGCAGAAACCTTCATTGTCTTGACGAACAGCAATTCTCCACCAACCTCCAAAGTCTCCTTTCACCCATCTCAAATCTCACTTGCCCTAACACTGCAACCTCCCTCTACAACTCCACTCTCTCCTCTCAACTAGACATCATGGCACCTCCTTCACTTAAATTCTACGATTCTGAAAAAGCTCAACCTTGACCCTAATTCCCCATCCAACTACCGCCCTATCTCGCTACTGCCATTTGTCTATGAGATCATTGAGAGAATTGTGTATGTGAGATTAACAGACTTCCTCGAATCCAACTCTCTGCTTGAACCACTTCAATCTGGATTCCGTGCTCGTCACTCTTTTGAAACAGCTGTGACCAAAGTATTCAATGATCTTATCACTGCAATATCCCATGGCCATTACTCTATCCTAATTCTCCTCGACCTTTCTGCTGCTTTTGACACTGTTGATCATCAACAGCTTCTTCTCATCCTCTGTCATCTCGGTCTACGAGATACCACTCTCTCCTGGTGCTCTTCCTAGCTCTCCTAGCACTCATTCAGTGTTTCTTTTTCTGGCTCTGCCTCTTCTCCCCAATCCCTCTCTGTTGATGTTCCCCAAGGGTCTGTCCTTGGT